AATTGGCTGGATCTGTTCTATAAATGTTTTATAAATACGTGTAACATTAGCTCTGAACCAAGAGTGGAACTTTTCCAGATTTTATTGAAAGTTGAAAAATCAAAGTTAGCGGAACTGCCATTGATGTGGCACATGCTTTTAAAACAAACGGACTAATGTTATCATCACCCATTGACTTATTTCCATCAAGCATATTTAGGTGTTTGAGAACAATGTTTTGGTCAGTTGTTATATCCGAAGTTAAAACATTTGTTTTGGATGCAAAAGGTTTTAATGGCTGGATCAGTGGTTTCTTTGTAAAAACTGATTGAAATTGGTTGTTGAGAATGTTTGCTTTTATTATTCCATCACTGCTCATTTGGTTTGAATCTGAGATTAAGGCTGATATTTGATTGCTCGCTATCCGTTTACTATTAATATATGCAAATAGTCTTTTTGGATTGTGCTTGTCGTTAGCTAGCTCTGACTCATAGACACGTAATGCTCGTTTGCTATTTTTTTTGACCTCCTTTTTGACAGCTGTATACTCTGTGGTGTGCGCTGCATTTTTTCACTTTGAGTTTGTACCAGTACCAGAGCTCTTTTTTTAGTCTAATTAGCTTGATTAACTTTTTTGTGATCCAGGGTTGCCTTTTTTTGGCAGTAGGCAGTATTTTTTGATATATATATATATATATATATATATATATATATATATATATATATATATATATATATATATATATATATTTATATATATATATATATATATTTATATATATATATATATATATATATATATATATACATACATACATACATATATATATAACAATTATTATATATATATATATATATATATATATATATATATATATATATATATATATATATATATATATATATATATATATATATATATATATATATATATATATATATATATATAACTTCAGCAATTATTATATATATATAATATGTATATTTATAATATATATATAATATGTGTATATATATATATATATATATAACTTCAGCAATTATTATATATATATAATATGTATATTTATAATATATATATAATATGTGTATATATATATATATATATATATAACTTCAGCAATTATTATATATATATAATATGTATATTTATAATATATATATAATATGTGTATATATATATATATATATATATATATATATATATATATATATATATATATATATATATATATATATATATATATAGATGGAATGTGATCGAATGCTATTGCTGACCACGCAGATGTTTTTTTTTGTTGATAACTTGACCACGTCTGTTTTGATATTTTGATGATTTAAACATTTCTGAAATTTGCTGAAAAAATAAAAGCTAAGCTAAACAGTTTAGCTTAGTGTTTTTATGTCTTTTTTTTTAAGTCTGAAAACTATAAATAAAATTTAATAAACTGGAAAAAAGAAAACTATTTCTTGCTATAAAGAGAATATATAAGCTTTAGAATAAAACTCAGAAAACTCAAACTCAAGGCGAAATTTACATTTTGTTATGTTTTTTAATTGCGGTTGAAATAAATTACTTTAAAACTTAACTTATGAAACGTTTTATTAAAGTTACATAAAACGCTTTTACAAATTACTTCTAATTATCAAATGAACAAATTTTATTTAAATTGTTGTTAAATTATTGAAATAAAAAAATATATAATATTTTTAAATTGGACAAACGTTTTTTTTTTAAAAAGTTGCAAATAAAATTTTTTTTTAAATAATAATCTTTTTAAAGTATTAATTTTTAATCATTTCATAAGTCAAGTTTAAAAAAAAAAATTTTAACAATTTTTTGTAAAAAAAAAACAAAAAAAATAAAGCAAATAAATCATTCCATTGCAGCAGCAAGATTTTAATTAAACTTATTCATAATTTAAATATTTTAAAGAAAAAGTCTTATTAAAGATTTTTAGAAAGAAATAGAAAAATAGTTTCAAATGTTTAAATTATCATAAAAAATACATTCCTACTAAAAAAAATTTACATTTTTAATTTACACAAAATGCGTTTATTTTAAATGATCATTATAATTAATTTTTTATTTTATTTAAAGCCCTCGTATAAAATAAAAATGTTAAAAAAGATCAATGTTTAATTGTTGTTTGTAACATAATTATTTTTTTATTGTAATTTAAATTGTTAAAACATTGAAACAGTTGTGGTCAAGTTGTAAAGAAAAAACATTATTAGCGTGGTCAATTACAAAGTGCAATCGCACACCATTCCTGTCCAAGCCTGACTTTTTTATTTTGTTTTCATTTTAAAATTTTATAAAATTTTGAAAATTAGCTTTAAAGTGAATCTCTTTGGTTATTTTAGAAGTTTTTTTTACAATCATTGAATGCACTTTAGATTATAATAATGTCATTTCAGGATTATCATGTTATACTTACACAAAAGCCAAAAATTGGGCCTCCAAAGGTGTTTGATTTGGATTCAGTATTATCATTCCCATGTCCATTAGATATGTACCTTGCACAAGCTATACGATCTGAACACAATATAAAGAAAGAATACCACAGGTTATTTTCTTTAATAAATAGAAGATAAATCTTTGTTTATTTTAGCATCATTTTATTTTTTAAAGTTTTTATTTTTTAAAAATTTTATAAAGTAAAAAAAAATACTTTGTATAATGTTTAAAGTTTTTTAGTGTTTTGTCTTCTTATCATCTTCTTTGTACTGTAAATTAAATAGAAGTTTAAAATTTTAATGTCGTGTGAATTTTAAATTTTAAATTAAGAGGTATTTAACCATTTAAAAAAATAAAAGTTTATATTTCAATTTTATTTGAAATTTATAATAATAATTTAATTTTAAATATGATTGTTTTTTTTTTTTTTTTTTTTTTTTATAGAAAGTTCAGGATAATTGCAGCTGATGATTTCCTTAGTAAATTTGCATCTGATAGATCTCATATGTTAAAACCAAATGGTGAATATATAAAACCACCACCAGATTATCCTCCAATCAGAACTGCAGGTAACTTTTTCTAATATGTTTGTGTGTGTATAAAAAATAAAATGAGTAAGATAAAAAAAAGCTTTTACTTCTACAGGAATAGAATTTTAACAGCGTGTTAAGTGAAGGTTGTTTATTTTTCAATATGGAGACATTAGTTACTTTGTACTTTAGTGATGAAGAGAAATCTTTATAAATATATGAGGTCTTAGTAATGTTTAAATGTTTGTTTAAAATAAATTTGCTTAGAACAAGGCTGCATGCATTCAAGTTGGAAATTAACATTAAGAAAAGAATAAAGGAGAAAAAATGCAGTTGATAAGAAACAAAAAATTGTGTAAGTCAAGAAAACATAGAAGCATGAGAGAATTTTTAAGTACTGATGTTCTAAGAAAAAAATTTGAGAAAATCTAGGAAAAAAAATTTTTGAACATAAAGGCACAGTTACAACATAAAGGCACAGTTACAATAAAAGGATGTGACTTAACAGCAAGTCACATGAGATTTAGAGGTCGATGGAACAAGCGATAATGACTTAAGCAGCAATCACGGTTGTTTTGAATTGTACAAAAGAAAAAGAAAATTTTACAACAATGGGACAGAGGCTTAAGCTTAGGAGCTAAACAGGTCCAGCAGCAATTACTATGTTTTTTTGGACATTGTGTGGCATTATAAGAAGAGCGAGCTCAAATATGACCACAGTATGGTTTTTCTCATTTTCTAATTCTTTAGAAATCCTCTAATCGCTTTTCCCCTCCCTATGCTCTATTATGTCAATTTACACAAACAATTTACGGCCTCCTAAAAAGTGAAAAACATATATTTTATAGATGGATAAAATCTTTTTAAACATATTATTTTTTTTAAATATGTTAAAAAGCATTTTTTTTTTTTTTTTGCTTTTTTACACTTTTTGTTAAAAAAATTTTTTTTTAAACATTAAATTTTACAAAACTTAATATTATTTAAAAGTTTTTTTTTTAACTTTCTATGAAATTTCTCTTTGTTTGAGATCCAACTTGATATACTTTTATAGAAAAATTTTTAGAGTAGTATGGCACCCACCATATTGTCAGATGTTTGGTGTAGGAACTTTTTTTGAATTGAATAAAATAATTTTAATTTTCTTAATCAGTATTAAAATGTTCATTGATTTCTACTATAGTCCAAAAAATTATTTTTTTATCATAACCCTGCATGTTGTCCCTATTTAAGTTTTTGTATGTCTGCCTAAGTCAGTTGATGATATGATATTTATACTCCACTGCATGTTCTCCCTACAGTGACTCACAGTGAAAATGATGCAGCATAGTAAAAGATTTATGATTTTAACATAATTTTAACATAATTTTTGAAAAATATTATTTTTTGTAAAGTACACATTGTATCATAATTATTTGTTTTTATGTTGATTTAAATTAATTTCTAAACAATAATACAAAACATATTGTTTATCCTAAAAAACATGTCACAGAGAAAATGATGCAACTATATTTATTACCATATCTCTCAAAAATGGGAAGTAACTAACAATTACTTTTTTTTATTTTAGTATGACATCTGTCAAAGTTTTACAATAAGAGAAACGTTGGATTGTCCCAACGCAAGATAAATCACGTTTAAGTGCACCAAAGCTTGCCATTGAGGTAAAAAAAAAATTTGGAAAAATGTGAATCCAAAAACAATTCGTAGAGTTTTCAGAAAAAATGACTTACATAGTAGAGTGGCTAGGAGGAAACCATTTATAAGCAAAATTTATAAGCAAAATAAGAAAAATCGACTCAAGTTTGCCAATGAATACAAAAACAAAGATTTCAATTAGGGTGCGTCATAAAACAACATTCTTTGAAAATGTCTAAAAATCCCTCTTAATTTTTTTTTATGTAATAAATTAATACTAAATTAAAAAAAATTTTAAATAAAAAATTTTTTTTAGGGGTTGCTCAAAATCCTTAAACATCAGATGGGTCCTTAATATTTAAAAAAAAAAAGGTCTTTAAAAGCATATCATGTTGGTCTCAAAAGAAGTGCAATTTTATAAAAGTTTCAAAAATAATCATCATTTTATATAAAGATTACTATTAAAAATTTTATGGCTTAAAAACTTTTTTTTTTTTTTTTTAATTTAGGTAATTTCTTGATGTTCCTCTTTGTATTCTAAATTGTCCTAATATTATTGAATTTTTTTTTCTTCTAAACTTTCGAATCCACTGACTATACCTTTATGTGGAACATTACTTTACTCTATTGCTTTTCTCTTTGTTCTTTGTTCACTCTCCTTCATCTCTAGGCTGCACTCTTTTTGATGTTATTTCTGATCAAATTGACCAAGCCCTCTCTCTTTCTCTCCATCAGCCAATATCATTGTTGTTGGTGACTTTGTTGTTGGTGACATGCTCATCACACTGAATGGCTTGGCTCTAGTTTCAGTGACTCTGCAGGCAATAAAGCCCACAACTTTTGCCTTCCTCAATCCCTAACTCAAATAGACAACAACTTTCCAACTCGTTTTCCAGACAATCCAAATCATTTACCTTCTCTACTTGACTTATGTCTTGTTTCTGATCCTAGTCAGTGCTCAGTTTTTCCACATTCACCCTTAGGTGCGTCTGATTACGGTTTGATCTCTCTGAAACTATTTTCTCATTCTTCTTCATCATCAGAATCCCCCTATAATACCTCTTACAATTACCTTTAAGTTGACTGGCACTCTTTCCATTATTTTCTTTGTGAAGACCCTTAAGTAGAATTCTTCCAACTTCCTGCTGACAAATGTGCTTCTTACATAACTTCTTAGATTCAGGCTGGTATGGAATCTTTTATTCCCTCTCAACGATTTTAAATCAAGCCTCATTCTTCTCCGTGGTTTTCCTCGCATTGTACAATTTCCAATCGAAGCCATTACTTCCATATCTATCAACAAAGCAATTCTCCAGAAAATAGACATCTGTTTACTATTGATAGAAACCATTGCACAAAGGTTTTGTCTAACGCCAATGTACAATTTATTGTACATTAGATAGAGGTGAAGAGGTTAAGGCTGTTGCTCTTGACATTTCTAAAGCTTTCGATAAAGTTTGGCATGCTGGTCTTCTCTATAAGCTTTTTTCTTATGGTGTATCAGCTTTTTTCTTATGGTATATTCTTCCTTACCAATCGTAGTATAAAAATCATTCTTGATTTAAGTCTTCTTCATACTCTGTAACTTCAGGGGTTCCTCAAGGTTCTATCTTTGCCCCTATACTCTTTTTAATTAACATTAACGATCTTCCGGATATTTTTACATCTAAGGTGGCATTGTCCGCTGATGATACTACAATTTATTCTTGTCTTGATAAGAAGCCTACACTCTAATTGCTTGGAGGGGGCATTTGAGCTTGAAAAGGATCTCACTTCTGCTACAGCATGGAGCTCACATTGGCTGGTGAACTTTAATTTAGATAAATCTCAATTTTTTTAGCCAATCTTCATCGCAATAATTTAGATTGTCCTTTATTTATGAACGGTAATGAATCATTTACCCTTCATCTTCTAAGATTAAATCTTACTGTCTATTTTTCTTGGAAACCATATATCAAATGCATTGCAAAATTAGCATCTGCTATTTTTGCATCTCTTTATTGTGCTTGGCATTTTATTATTCCGGATTTTATTTTTTATCTCTATAAAGCTCAAATCTCCCCTTGTATGGAATACTGTTACCGTATCTGAGGTAGATCTTCCAATGATGCTCTTTCTCATTTAGGCAAAGTGCATTTTTGCACTTTGCCTAAATGAGAAAGAGTATCATTAGAAAAATTGTAAACATAGTTGGACCTGCCTTGCAGCCAACTTCCAACTATTATTACATCGTTGTAATGTTGCTTCTCTTTCTCTTTTTTATAAATTTTTTAAATTTATAGTATTTTATAAATTTTTTAAATTTATAGTATTTTATAAATTTTTTATAAAATACAGTAATGGGCACTGCTCTAAAGAGCTAGCGTTTCTTGTGCCATCTACTAAAATTCATTCTTGTGTTAATTGTCATTCAATTAAGTCTCATCCTATTACTTTGACTGTTCCTAAAAACTCTATTTATTTGGTTTTTTACCTCAAACATCAGTTCTTTAGAACTTGCTTCCTTCATCTTGCTTTCCTGATTCATATAATTTATAATCTTTTATGTCGTCTGTAAATTGTTATCTTGTTCTATAAAATTTATCTTTTCCCTTCCAGTAACTTGCACTCTAATAGTGGTTGCCTGCAGTCTTGTTGGAAGAAATGGAGTGAAAAAATGTATATATGAATATATATATATATATATATATATATATATATATATATATATATATATATATATATATATATATATATATATATATGTATATATATATATATATATATATATATATATATATATATATATATATTCATATATACATTTATATATATATATATATATATATTCATATATACATTTATATATATATATATATATATATATATATATATATATATATATATATATATATATATATATCGGTGGAAAGAGTTCTGACGTTACAAAAACAAAACAAAACAAAAAGACCTCAAAGATTTTAGTCTCCGGTATCGAATAAGGATAGTAAAAAATTTTTCGAATGCTGGCACTTTGATATTATTTCATATCTTTTATTAAGTATGTTTTCTCCTTTATATGATAAAATGTGAAATTTCTCGCAGAGACAAAGATTACAAACTTTTGATGCTTGATTGTAGGGCTTACATTGTGCTATTATCTTCTATGTAATCACAGGATTTATATGTTTCGATTTTAATTCCCATATTTCTTTGGAAAGTTCAGTGTCATTTTTATATTTGGGTGCATTGAAAGACTTGAGATGGTTGGCATATCTTAATTTAAATGTGGTTTCACTTATACCGAAATAAACTTTATCTTTGAATTGAGGATCTCCAGAACTTACTGTGGCTTGGTATATGATATTGCTAAAAAGGCATTGGTTATTTATCGGACAAATTTTTTTGTCTATGCAGTTATA